CACGACCTTGGCGTTATTAGCACCACGCTCTAACCAACTGAGCTAACCGGCCCCGCTCTGACTCCTTTTATCCCCAATTTCCCAGGAATATCCTAGTTGCCCTAGTCAGCTTGAAGAGATTAAAAGCAAAGCCTGAGAACGGGCTCGTCCGGGATTTGAACCCGGGACCTCTCGCACCCTAAGCGAGAATCATACCCCTAGACCAACGAGCCAACACACACATGTCCTTCCTGCTGCTGCCTGGCCGAAAACATTTCCGTTTTCCAGGCTTAAAGCACAAAGGTTTAATTAAATGTACAACTAAACGGTAGCCAGTGCAAAGTTGCCGACACAGAGGAAATACGGTCTCTTTGCTTTGTGAGAACTTGACCTACAAAAAACGCTAGTACATATGGGCGTATTGCAAAATCGATTGACCTGATGCCTGATAGGTTACAAGTTACTGGTGCCCTCCTTATGAGAACAAAATCCACATTCGATCAAAGTCGGAAGCTATTGCAGATGCTCGATGGTGTTTTAAAAGGAGTTTTGTGCAGGACCACTCTGGAACACAGGCCTCCACCACCCGGAACAAAACATGAACATTCCATGCACGCGCCACAGCAAACTTGGCAGAAGCAGGTCCCGCCGAGATTTGAACTCGGATCGCTGGATTCAGAGTAGATACGCTAATAGATACGCCCAACGTGGGGCTCGAACCCACGACCCTGAGATTAAGAGTCTCATGCTCTACCAACTGAGCTAGCCGGGCAGCCGCTGTGAGCTGCTTGGGGCTGGTCGCGGTTTTTATCCGTGCCTAAATTGCGCCCGTCATCCGGAGCCTCACATTTCGCACAGGCTTGGCATAGCGTCTCGCGGGTAAAGTCAGGGTTAAGCCTAGAGCCAGGCTCAGAGTGTACTTTGTTTGTTTAAGCCATATATGTTGTTGGGGGATACAATTTCACCCAGTAGAGCAGGCCAGTAATATGCACAATCACAACCCGGAGCTAAAGTTCCGTTTCGGGTCTGTCAAACCGGAACTTGACCTACAAAAAACGCTAGTACATATGGGCGTATGCCAAATCGATTGACCTGATGCCTGATAGGTTACAAGTTACTGGTGCCCTCCTTATGAGAACAAAATCCACATTCGATCAAAGTCGGAAGCTATTGCAGATGCTCGATGGTGTTTTAAAAGGAGTTTTGAGCAGGACCTCTCTGGAACACAGGCCTCCACCACCCGGAACAAAACATGAACATTCCATGCACGCGCCACAGCAAACTTGAGCTGATGTAAACTCTCACATAACACCCGCTGTCTTCTTTGCACACGAGGCAACTGAGCAATCATACCCCTAGACCAACGAGCCAACACACACACATCCTTCCTGCTGCTGCCTGGCCGCAAACATTTCCGTTTGCAAGGCTTAAAGCACAAAGGTTTAATTAAATGTACAACTAAACGGTAGCCAGTGCAAAGTTGCCGACACAGAGGAAATACGGTCTCTTTGCTTTGTGAGAACTTGACCTACAAAAAACGCTAGTACATATGGGCGTATGCCAAATCGATTGACCTGATGCCTGATAGGTTACAAGTTACTGGTGCCCTCCTTATGAGAACAAAATCCACATTCGATCAAAGTCGGAAGCTATTGCAGATGCTCGATGGTGTTTTAAAAGGAGTTTTGAGCAGGACCACTCTGGAACACAGGCCTCCACCACCCGGAACAAAACATGAACATTCCATGCACGCGCCACAGCAAACTTGGCAGAAGCAGGTCCCGCCGAGATTTGAACTCGGATCGCTGGATTCAGAGTAGATACGCTAATAGATACGCCCAACACATCCTCGAGGGTAATTAGCTCAAATGGTAGAGCGCTCGCTTAGCATAAGAAGGGGCCCAATCTTTGCGCCCCCGCACGCAAGCCAAAAAGACGCAAAAAACGAGAATTTGCCCAAGAATTTCCCCTGCAACATTATTAGGGCTATATTCCTGTGCGTTATGAAGGAGTTTTAGTCACATGTGAAACAAGTCACCCCCCGCGGACTAGATTCGAACCCGTGTTCTGCGTGCGATCAACTGCGCCTGCGTCTTCATTTATCTATGACATCATTATATTGATTTATATTTTTTTGTGTGTATTATTATTATTTTTAAATATTGCATATTACATGTTGTTGATTATTTAATAAAATGAATAAAAATGGAGGGATATGATTTGATTCACATGATTTATCAGATTTGTTTTAAGACACTTCAAATGTTTTATTAAATGTTTTTTTTGTGTATATTATTTAAAAAAAATATTGCATATTACATGTTGTTTATGATTTAATAAAATGAATAAAAATGTTTCTTCAAATATGTGTTTTTTGTGAGGGATATGATTTGATTGATATGATTTATCAGATTATTTTAAGACACTTTAAATGTTTTATTAAAATGAATACACACAAATATTTAAATGACACTTCAAATGTTTTATTAAAATGAATACACAAATATTTAAATGACACTTTAAATGTAAAAAAAAACAAATATTAAAATGAATACACACAAATACTGAAATGAGTACACAGACACAAACACACATATATACATATATATATATATATATAGGACAATATGAAAGACTGGGTGGAACCATGTACAGTAATATATACAAAATATATACAGGAAAAAAGCAAATTGTTTATTGAGGAGGTGGAGTTTGGCTTGTATTTTGCTGGCGCTGTTCTGCCAACCAGTCATCTAAAGATTTTCCATTTGAGGCACGCAAGCAAAATGTGGCATTTCCATATCGGCTATGGCCAAACTCTTTGGTTTTGGGCTGCCCACATTTGCTGCACATGTTAAAGGTTACCCCTCGCACATACTTCCTCTTATGGACTCCGCTTTCCGTCTCCTGGGCCCGCCGGCGCCTGTTCCTCTGGGTGTAACGGGACACAGGAGCAGCAGACACAGGAGCAGGTGGAGCTGGGCCTGCACCGGATGTTGAAGCACCAGAAGGTGGAATCACCATTGACACGGTCATGTCTGGGTTAAGGACTAGTGACAATGACCCAGGTGCTGAAATGGGCTGCACAACTCCTGATGCTGTGGGGGCAGGTGCAATGGGGCACACCATGGTGGTGGCAGCAGCAGGCCGTCGACCTGGTCGCAGAAGAGGAGCCTGTCCTTCTCGATTTGGCGGAAGGATAAATGTATGTTTTGGGCGTGAGGTCGATGCCGCTTCATCCAATTTTTCCCTCGGTGGAGGAAGCTGCGTATCAGCCACAGCAATTGGGTCAGGTGGAGTCAGTCCCTGAGCAAGGACACTCATTTCCTGTTTTTTCTGCTGCCGTTGAAACCTAAAAATAAATTACATGTATTATATATACGTTTATAAAGGTATTCAGTTAATTTGAAGAAAATAATGTGCCTTGCTTACCACTGAATGAGTGTCTTCTGGTTTACCTCAAACAGCTGGATCATTGTTTCATCCATCAGCCTGCGATTATTAAGCACCAGCTCTCGGATGTGGTGGTAATCCGAGAGGATTTTAGACCACCTGGGGGTGCAAACTCCAGCCTTCTTGGTCGGCGACTTGTGTAAAGCACACAGCTTTGTACAAATGGCCTCAACCAAGCGGCTGGTGCTGGGCCACTGTGCTGGTCCCCCGGGATGTCCAATCAGACACCGTTTTACACTCTCCACACCTGGTGTGACTCAGGACCGCTTCGGTGCCTTAAAGCGTCCATGTGTCAGCTGAGGCTGATGTCGAGGCTGATAGTTGACCCGCTGTTTGTCTATGTCATGGAGAGCTGTCCACAGCAGGATGGCCTCTGTCACCTGCAGGTCAGTGAGGTAAGGAGCCTCACGAAGACCAACCAGGTAACCAGCCATATCCTGGACCTTGTCCCACCCAGCAATGCCATCGGGCCCAATGACTGATCCCTAGTAAATTCAGATTAATGTTAATATATGTGGAATAAAACGAGATTGAAATTAAATAAAGCCCTTAAAGTGTTTTACCTGAGCCTCGTCGGAGAGACTGCTTCCAGTGTCAGATGGCTGTGACAACACTGAAGGGGCAGGGGCAAGTTGCTGTCCTTCTCTAGTTGATGTGGATGGCTCAGCCAGTGACACGTCAGCCATTGATACATCAGCCAGTGATGCTGGGGACTGAGGCTGAGGCAAAGATGAGGGGCTGTTTGCGAGATCATGGCAGGGGTCATTCTCGTACAGCACTGGAACTGTGATGTCCTCCGTGATCTCTTCCTCAAACCCCTCATCTTGCAGGTCTTGGTCATCAATTTCCTCCACCAGCCTGTCTTCATCCTCTGGGTTCTGGAGCACTGGAGTCAATGTTTTGCCAGTCTGGCTGTAAAGGTACTCTATTCCTAGCAATTCACCTACAAGAATAAAAGGGAAAAAATATGTTCTTAATATTTTGTCTAGTACATTTAAGGCTAAATAGATACTTAGTAGAGTATTACAAAATAACAAATTAATGAATGTCTTGCCTGTATATGCTCCAGGAGGGCGATAGCGCTCATCCCAGGGCTTCCCAAAGACTGTCTGGCTAAGCTGGTCCACAGCCTCTCTCATGGCACTGCCATATGACCGGATGGAGGACGCTCCTTTTATGGCATCTTCCATCCGGTCATCATTCCAACGCATCAAGCCCTCAAGGAGATAGGCCTGAAAATGCGCATCACTGGCACTGGTTCCTAAAAGTTAAATAAATAAAAAAGGGTTTTATATGTCACATATGTACAATATATTTACTACACATGAGGTGCTATGTCTGGTTACATGTAATAGAGTTATGTAATTACATTAAAAAATTATTGTCGTTATAACCAGAGTTATTAGTGACTTGTGAGGCAAGACAGCTTTGTCAATGCTTTTATGACATCAGAAAAGAACTGTAAAAGTGTGACATTTATTAATGTGACATTACTTTAACGTAATGGAAGCAGTTACAGTGCTTATATTTTTTTACAGAAAAATTAGTAATCCATATGAATGTAATACCTGGAATAAAACGGTTCAGGTGGAGGTGGAATGACTCCAAGGAGGTAGAGCCTCGAGCACACCTGTAGCAGCACAGCTCCACACCGCCTTTCTTCAGTGTCCCCTTCTTTATGTAGAGCGGAAAGTGCTCTGGGTCTTGGATACACTGTACATGCTTCCGCTGTTCTTTCCATATCTGCTGGATCCGTTCATGGTTCAGAAGTGGAACTCCCAGAGTATCCTTCCCGTCCGCACTGTCAAACTGATCAATCAGTGACCCAATCAATATGGTGGTCTCCTCCTCCCCCCTGGTCCTCCTCCGGCAGTGCAGTGCCAACTCCCTCCGGTTAATGCGAGCACTGACCGCCTTTTCTGAGATGTAGCCAGTCTTCTTTGCTGCCAGCTCACCCTCCTTTGCACGGCGAAGAGCAGCCACATCCTCTGAATCCCACTGGAATATGGACATGGATAGACGTGCCATGAAGATCCCATAGAGCGGATGAGCCTCTGTCGTGACACCTGCAGCAAATCGCCGCATGAAATGCCAGATGTCCAGGCGCACTTCAAGCTCATCCCACTCCGAAAACATGGCCTTCACCTGAGACTGGCCGTGCTGACTGCAGCAATCTCTGTCCACGTACATCACCTTTGGGGATGCCTCTCCTGCCTCTCGGTAGCGTTTCATTAGGCCAGCTGCCATGGGGTCCAGTGCATGTCCCTCGGCGGCTGTTAGGACAGAGACAAGGACTTGGCCGTGTTCGTTACCAACATTTGTGCACCAGGCAGCTGTTCCTGAAGCAGCACCGGCAAGTTTTTTTGTGACCTATTGAAGAAAAAAAAGAATTTTTTTTTTTAAACAAAATAAAAACTCATAACTGTTCATTATGTACACACACATATATCCATATCTGGACAATTTCTGGATATAAACAGGGCTGTGATACCTTTTTTGTGGAGTCCATCTTGAGAACACAGCCAAATACAGATGTTATCTTGGCCTTGACCTCGTCCAGTCGCCCCAGAACATCCCTGGCGTACACAGCTAACAGCCACTTAGGTTTAGGAAGGGCAGGTAAAAGGGGAGGCTCAGCAAACACAGGAGGCTGCACAAGGGAGGACCTTGTGAATGGTTCACAGGCAGTCAGGTACTGCAGGACACGCTGTGTCCATGCCTCACTGTGTTGTTCCATCAGCTTCTTGTAGAGCTGAGTCACACTGTTGCCCAGTGTCCTCTCCCTCATCATCCTCACCACCCGGTTGTCACATGAGTATCTAAGGAAACAACAGTATAATCATGCAAATGCTTTGGTTGGAAAAAATAACACAAATAAAAGCGCCTAAAAATGAATGATTGTCATTATGAATTACCTGTATGTCAGCAAAGCTGGAAACTGACTGCGGTGGCCCATATCCAGCTGTCCTAAGATGTCCTCGTTCCAAGCTGGATACTTCTTTTTGCAGCGTTTGCACTCCAGATACTCAGTGGCAAGGTCATACCACCCATCAATGTCTAAGACCTTGCGCACGGTACGGTAAAGTCCTGCCGCTGTAAGTCTGTGCTTACCACAGTCTGGGTGAACGCAGACAAGAGGAAACAACCACATCTTTAGCGGCATCCATAAGAAAATGGGCCGACAGAAGAAGAGGTCAGGTGAGGCGGGTGGCTGGGTGTTTATTAAAGGGGGCTGAGGAGGATACCACCAAAGCTTCAGCTGGGACACTATTTCTGGCTTTCCGTTTCGCATGTTGGCCTTAAACAGTGTGTTCCGGATCCACTCATGCTGGAAAGGTGGAAGATGATCTTTCCAGTGACTAGGAAGCTCAGCTGGTGGCTGATGATGAGGAAGAGCTGGTGTCTGTGCTGTTTCCGCTGATGGAGACGGACCGGCACAGGCCTCTGAGTGAACAGTAACATAAACAATATAAGGATGACTGTTATTTGATAGTAATATGCCATAAATGCAGCCCACAAACAGCCGGCGAAGCAGTAATTTTGGACAAGTATTAATAATAATTATGATTATATTTATGAATAACAGTGAAGAAAATGGTATTAGTGTCAAGAAGCAAAGAACACAGTGTACACTTTATTGATGTAAGGAATATTGGATCAATATAGCTCTTTGAGAATGAGGATTAGATGGAATGAAAGAAGGAAAATGAGTCGTGATGAATTCAGTAAAAAAAGTATGATGCCCACAGACATGAAGCATGCACACAGACACAATAAAGAAAAACTTTTCCTCTAATAATTAGAACAATGAATCTCCACCCTCCTGTCTGCTCAGGTTGAGTGAGTGAGAAGAGCAAGCGGTGTGAAAAAGTTATCCAGTGATTGTTTAGCAACAGGTAAGTTCGGAAACGCAAATAAATACACTGACACCTTTGGACATCCTTAAGGTTTGGAAGAAGTGCACTCAAAGAATGCCTCCCGCTTGAGGCATGATGTCACATAATTCTGTATTGTAAACAAAAAATATTTAAAAATGTTTATTTATTTTCAAAAATAATGATTCTCAGTGGGTTTCCACAAAACATTTTTATAATATTTGCATTTGTGTCATATGCCACACCTGTATTTAGCTGTGCTTCACATTGTGATGCAGCAAATACCAGCTCCTCATCATCATCTTCAGCAGTGGGAATGGAAGTGCCTGGAGCACAAATGTTAAAACTATTACTGTGATCAATACATGGAGACAAACATATGTAAGATGTTGCTTACTTACCAGTGGCGAAAAGCTGCTTTCGGGCCAAATGTTTGGCTGGGGGTTCTGCTGCCGGAGGAGGTAAAGTGGACTGCAGTAATGGATCTGGAAACAACAAGTGGACAAGTTTGCCATGACGATAAATGAATACATGTAGAACTGCTGTAGGGAAAATTCTATATTTACACTCCTACTCACAGGGTTTTACTGGTGACATTAGTTTTTTTGCCAGCTGTGAAGGAGACATATGTTTGCCACGCGCCAACAGTGCTTTCACAGTGGCGGTCTGCTGTAAACCAGTTTGGATGGCTGCAGGTGGACGTGCAGAGGTACTGGAGGCTGCAGGTGGACGTGCAGGCTGATGTACACTGGTGCCCATATCAGAAGCCCGTCTTTTCAGGACATACGCCTTGAAAATGGCCATGTTGGTGTTGGGCCTGGCATCTGCCTTAACCAGGTACCTGATGAGGGCTTCGGCCTCTTTGCTCTGGTCTTCATAAACATCCTTCATGGACCGGCCCTGAAAGTCACCAAACTCCACCATCAAGCAGCCCTGGTCTCCAGTTGCCCGGGCTTCTGCTTGCATTTCCTGCTTCCTCTTATACTTCTCTACTTCTTCTGCCATCTCTCTAATATGAGAAGTGTACTGTAGGAACAGTTGTTTATTTTCTGACAGGGGGGTTGTCTGCGCTTTCTCACTGGAAATGCTGAGCACCAAATACACTGCGTACCCCAGAGAGTTTTCCAGAAGCCATCTAAATCTCTGACCCTGGTACTTCCCAAACTGAAGTTTGCAGTGAGCCAGTACTAAAAACTGGTCACTGGGATCTCCACCGTTTGTGCAGACAAAAGTACTTGCCTCTGCCAGCACCTCCTCCTTCGATTTGGCCCTTCCAGACACCACATTTTCAAGTTGTTTCGCCTCCGCCGATGGCGCCATGAGGAGACGGTTTGATGTTGCTGACTGGCGACGAAAAACGGGGTATGCGTACATTTTCTGAAATGAAAATCAGAAAGAGACTATTACCTTGGTCAATCTAAAAGATACCTGTATGTTAAGTGTGTTACAATAATTTAGCAAGCTACACACCAGGAATTAAATCATGTTTATCAGGCATTTTGGGTGACAATATGGAAAGAAATTCTATGAAATATTAGATATTATTATGAAAATCTTGGCAATTACTACTAACTCCCATTATTACACTTCTTTTTTCATTACATGTTGCCCCAAGGATACATTAATATGCAAATTAGATACATAGATACATTGTATAAAATGGGAAAACCCGCTTATGGCCATTTTACACACATATTGCATAAAGCAAAATGGAAGTCTATATCAAATCATTCTGTTATCTTTTATAACATAGTTGGGAATCATCTTCATACAAAGTTTGGTATATAAAATCCTGAAACCTAAACAATTATTGGTGATTTAAAAAAAAACAACATTGTTTTTGCCTATTCATGTCTTTTTAAATAATAATAATAAAAAATTATTCCTAGTGTCCTCTACAGAAGACATAGTATAACCTATATGAACATTATAAAAAAAAAAAAAAAACTTTTTGTAAAAAACTTTCTTATGCTCTAAACAATGTAATGACACACACACACACACAAAAAAACTAAATTAACTAAACTTTTTTTGGTCTCAGGAGGATATAGCTTAATTAGCGGCCGGCTAATTAACTTAACAGTAGCTACATGTTTTCTTTTCTGTATTTTATCATGGGAAAAGTTACAGGTTCACAGGTACTGAAGTAAACCTGTAATATACACGCTAGCTAGCTATATTGGCATGTCTAATTTTCCAAAAATACACACTGTATATGAATAAATAATAAACGATTATACAGTAATGAAGAATAGCCTTACCTGTTGCGAAGATGACAATAATAGCAGCCGCTGATTGGTCAAAAGTACGTCACAGAAGAGAAACACGATTGGTCAAAAGTAAGCCATGGGATAGAAACGCAATTGGTCAAAAGTAAGCCACAGGAGAGACCCGCGATTGGTCAAAAGTAAGCCACAGCAGAGAAACGCGATTGGCTCATGTGGGCTTACTTTGGGCTTACTTTGGCTCAATCGGTAGGAAGCAGCAGGCGCAAGCGAGAGGTAGCGGGATCGATGCCCGCATTCTCCACGCGGTGTACTGCCCTTTTACGCTCACTTCAAAGGGATGTTCAGTTTCACCGCCACATCAGCAGTTGCGCATCAGCTCTGTTTTTTCCCGCCCTTCCGCAAAACAAGTTAAAAAGTTTCCACCGAGATTTGAACTTGGATCGCTGGATTCAAAGCCCAGAGTGC